ACATCCCAGCATACTTTTTATTTATTATTTATTTATTATATCTTTATTGTATACACTAATAGAAAAAAAAAAACAAAACAAAAGATGAGTTACAAATAGGTAAAGGTAACAATCGGCGGTCTTATCGCTCACAGCGATCTCTTCCAGACAACCTTATCATGGATTTTAAATATTTAACAATTTAGCTTGGTATACATACACGTAACACAATATCACGTGAATATTTAAAAATATTTACAAACATAAAGAAACACATTCATACACAAATATACATCTATGGACATTACACATATACAAATACACATACATACATACACATATACCCATACATATTTGGAATATATAATATATTAAATAGGGAATCAGAACAGTATTTATAATGACAGATAAAAATCTTTTAATATTTTTTAAAAAACAGGCAAAGTTTTAGCTTGTCGGATTGTTTCAGGCAAGTTGTTCCAGAGTCTTACTGCTTGCACAGTGAAAGATTTATCTGCAAACTGGGTGGAATGTTTTGGCATTTTTAGTTTTAAATTCTCCGATGACCTCAGGTCCCTGCAATGTGTGGTGTGTAGGAACTCAAAACGTTTTTTGAGATAAGAGGGTGTGTGAGGATGAAACAGAACACTGTATAAAAGAGAAAGAATATGGAGATTCCGGCGAAGGCGTATTGGTAGCCACTTGAGTTTGGAACGATACTCTGAGATGTGATCATACTTGCGTAAACCAAAAAGAATCTAATACAGAGGTTTTGGAGTCGCTCAAGTTTATTCAGTTGGTCTTCGGTGAGATCCAGGTAGCTGACATCGCCATAGTCAAGGATGAGAAGAAGAAGAGATTGTTCGAGCGCAATTTTGGTATTGGTAGGAAGGAAGTTGCGTAGCCTTCGCAGAGATCCCGCCGCTGCAAATAGTTTGCGGCTAACTTCTCCAATCTGAGGACCCCAGGATAGGTACCTATCCATATAGATCCCCAAGTTTTTAACTTTTTCACTATATGGGACAACCGAACCGTTGCAGGATATAGGTGGTATCTGCTGAAGGTTTACTTTACAGTGCAGCCTGGGACTTCCTACTATAATGACTTGTGTTTTCGTAGGGTTTACACTGAGTCCGTACTCCGTACTCCAGTTACATATTCGAACTAAGTCCCTGTTAATGGTATCCACTGTTTCTGTTAAATTATCTGGAGTACCTTGTGAGTAAATTTGGAGATCATCTGCATAAAGATGGTAGGAAGAAAGTAATTGATTTGTGATTGAGTTAATAAAAACTGCAAAAAGTAACGGTGACAACACGCCGCCCTGAGGTACGCCCGCAGATGTTGTGCGCCAAGAGGAGAACACATTTTCGATACAAGCACGCTGCTGGCGACCATACAGGTAACTACGAAACCAGTCAATTGCCGATGGAGATATGTTAAGAGAGCACAATATACCCAACAAAACATCAAAATCCACAGTGTTAAAGGCGTTGCTGAAGTCTAGTAAAGCAAAGACCGTAAGCCTGCCTTCCTCCATGCCCGATCTAATGTCATCCGTAATTGGACTAGGGCTGTGGTAGTGCTATAGCCTGGACGGAAACCTGATTGGAAAGGATTAAGGAGACAATTTCTTGAGAGAAATGAACTTAACTGAGTGTAAATAAGGCGCTCGAGAACTTTGGAGAAAAAGGGAAGGATAGATATAGGACGGTAATCTGAGAAGGAGGATGGATTACTTTTCTTGGGGAGAGGAATGATTTGAGCCATTTTCCATGCAGATGGAAAAGCGTTTACAGATATCGAGTAATTAAGAATATGGCACATTACAGGTAGGATTTCATCCAGGATAGGGAGAACCATATCACGGCTGATGCTATCGCTTCCTACGGCATTGGAAGTTATTGACATTATGCTCTTCCTTACATCACATGCAGCAAATTGATTGAAAAAGAATGGGGAACAGTTAGGAGTCGGCAGAGAAGAAAGATAATTTAGTGTCGCAGTCTTGGTAGCTCCTCCATAAGTAGATGAAGCTGAAAAGTATGAATTCAGGGAATCAATATCAATATCTTTTGAAGCACAATTAGAACATGACTTGCCGATCCCCAATGACTTAAGAAATTTCCAAACCTTAACTGGGTCGCCATCTTCAACAGATTTGTGGATATGTCGGCGCTGAGCATTCCTACACATCTTATTGCAGTGATTTCTAATAAGTACAAATTTTTCCCAGTTTGATGCTGTAGGGTTTTTCTTATATTTAGATTGAGCCCTTGCTTTCCTTCTCTGTACCTCCTTTATATCCTCAGTAAGCCAAGAAGCAGGGAGATGTTTCACCTTTATTCTTCGTATAGGCGCATGCTTGTCATATAAGATAGTAAGGTTATTTGTGAAGTGGTTATTTTTTTCATTAACACAGTGAGAGTTAAAAAGCGGACCCCAGTCAATGCTATCAGCATCTCTGCGAAGATTTTCGACATTCATTGTACGAAAATTATGGTGTGAAATGATTTTAGGTTTAGGTTTAGGTGTACGAATGAGGTAGGATAAAAAGAGAAGATCGTGATAGGAAAAAGAATCTGCAGAGCACTGGCCATATTTGGCGACGTGCTCCACAGAGGATACAAGGATGAGGTCTAGGAGAGATGAGTTACGGTTTGGCAAATTATGTGTAGGATTTAGTGTGAGAATAGAAAGATTACTAGATTCAATAATAGATCGAAGAGTGGCAGAACGAGAATCGTTTTTCAGTAAACAGGTGTTAAAGTCACCCATGACTATAGTGTGACTGTACGAAGGGGTTAGATTTTCCAACAGTTCTTCAAGTGAAGAAAAATAATCTACTCGAAGGGAAGGACTGTAATATACACCGAGAAGTAGTTTTGTGTTTTGGAGTAAGATTTCAATGAATAAATGCTCGCCAGCATTTGTGGGTGTGGGCTGAGAAGACATATTTACTATGGAGAAAGGAATGTGGGATCGAATATACATGGCAACTCCACCGCCACGTCCACAAATACGATCATTCCTTACCAGCTGAAAGCCTGGTAACGAGTACGTTACTGTGGAGAGGCATGGTTTGAGCCACGATTCTGATACAAGAATTGCGTGGATATTCGTACAGTCAAAGGCTGTCAGCATATCAGAGAAATGTGCCGGAATGCTTTGGGCATTTATATGTACGACATTGAAGTTCCTGGGAACATCAGAGAATTGACTCGAGATAGTATCTGCGAGCGAAGGAATACTAGTGAAACTAGCATCATCACTGGACACCGAAAAATATTCATCAGTGTCACTATTAGTGATGGATGACGTCATCAGTATGTAATTTGAAATATGGTTTAATTTGAATATGGGTATAGATATATTAACAATATAATAAGTAGTTATAATAGTATAAAATGTGCTACTAAGACTTTTCTAATCAATTAATCCGTCTGCCGGTTCCATGTTATTATAATAATTAATTTATAAGTGAAAGAAAAGTTTGCATAATCTGGCACTACAAAATTAATTTAATTTGGGATTGCGACCCAAAACATACTGAATAAAAATTTAAAGATAAAAGATAAAAATGCTAGTATAGAAATTTATACGAATTAAAATTTGTGTAGTACTAAAAGGCAGGTATCCAGATCATGCGAATGTTACACATCTACTAAAAGGAATGACGTGAACTGGAACGCAATCCCGTTGTCACATGTGACAGCTTATTAGTTTGACATACGACTTACGAGTACACTTACGATGTTATCAATTGTCTCATAAAATTAATTACAACAGGGTAATCAACAAGTGTATGACGTGGGTAGAGTAAACATATAGTGTGAAGCTAAGGTACTCAGCAGTTATCAGGACTATTATGTGACAAACAACAACGAAGCCTGCATACATAGGCACTCTTAATCGCAAACAATTAAGTGACAACGAACAATATGATTCTATTATTTTTTAGCGGCACGCCTCGTCTTAGTCACTGCTGCTTTGGCGGCTGCTGCTGGCTTCACCACTTCATCACTAATAGAGTCGAGTTCGCCAAGAGTCGTTATACGATGCCTTTTACTATCAGGACCCGTAATGTTGATAACACCCTGCCGGGTCCAGCACTTGGCTATACCAAATCTTTGACGTGCAGACATAAAAACATGATGTCTTGATTTCGTGAGAAATTCTGAGACAGTTACCCCAGTGCCCTTCAAGTTTGTTTTAGCGAACCAAATAGCGTCTCTAGTACTGACTTGCTGAAACTTGACAAGTATAGGCCTGGACTTACCAGATGAAGATATCCGCCCCATTCTTTGGCATCTTTTTATATTTTGAAGAGTGAAACCGCTCACCTTACATTGTTCACCAAAGATTTTACCAGCGACCAATGTAATGTCTTCATTCCTCTCCTCGGGTACACCATGAATCAATAACATCTTTCTCCTGCTCCGAGTCTCCATGTTATCTGCAGTCTGAGCCAATATTTGAACCTGCTGTTGGATATTATTGAGAGCTTGGAGGACAAATATTTTGAAGGTTGCAAACTCGGTTTCAAGATTAGTGGGGGGTGGTGCGGATGAGCCAGATTCCTTTTGGAGCTTATCTCTTGCCTCGAATTCTGACATGCGAGTATTAAACATGACATTCATGTCAGCGATAGTTTTGAGTAGGGACTCCATATTATCCATATATGCAGACAACAAACTTGTATTGTATGGAAATAACACTTTCACCGTCAGAAGGTATTATAAGGTTGTAAAGTAGATCATCAAATGTGAATAATTTATTGTAAAAACTATTTTAATTATAATTTAAAATAAAGCCTAAAATTACTGATGTTTACTTAGCTACTACCCTCAAATTTTTTCAAGCATACTTACATACCTGAAGGAAATTATAAAAAAATTGTACTTTATGGACTCGCAGAGTATTACAAAGAACCCGAAAACTTACTTTTCAACAGACTGGAAGACCTCTTTCGCGATATAGCCCAAGTCGATCTATCTGGCTATATAGAAGACACGTATAGGATGGGCAGAAATACCAGCGCGAAGAGTCGACCGTTAGTAATTGAACTAATTATTAAGCGAATGGTTAAGTACCTTCTCAAAAACAGCCAATGCTTTCAAGGAACTGGATTATTTATTGCCGAATTTCTAGACAACACTGTGAGAAAGGAAAGGGCACAACTCCGAGAAGAGCTATTTGCGGCACGCCAAAAGGGCCTGCGTGCAATAATAAGGAATAAGCAACTGTATATAAAAGGTAAACTTACACATCCTAATAATTTTAATAATAACACCAATAAAGACCCACACACTAATAGTCGAGAACTTTCGAGCACAATGCCACCCAACATCACCAACCCACCGTGTAATGAAAATACGCCAGATGAACAAGAAATCAATACACTTCGCAAAGAAAGACCCACCATTTAAAATCTTGTTTCAAAATTTTTAAAGCCTCAACAATAAACAGGACATACTTGAAGCCTTTATCACCCAAAATTCAACATACAAAGCAATGTGCATCTCGGAAACTTGGCTAACACAAGAGAAGCTGGACCTAGTTCATATTGCTGGATATAAGTTTATCATCATATATGTATCATCGTATTGTCGCAGCACCAGAACTGGCGGCGGCGTCAGCATTCTACTTCAAGACCACATAGACTTTATAGATAGAAAAGATATTACTGATATGTCGATAGAATATATTGTGGAATTATGCGCTACTGAATTACCTAAAGAAAATTTATTAATTATAACAATGTATTGGAACAGAAGAGAGGAAGAAATATTTTATAAATAGTTAAATTTAATCCTTAAATATATTAATAATAAATATTCCAAGTTGAACATAATCATAGGCGGCGATTTCAATGTTAATATTTTAGAAAATAGCTCCAAATCTAGTCAACTCTTAAATTTAATGCTAGAGTACAAACTAGCACAATATATCAAAATACCTACAACTCTGACAACTAAAACTTGCATTGATCTGATATTTACTAATTTTAAAGATAGATGTATGTATACGACAGTGGAAGAGTTAGGTTTTTCAGACCATAATAGTACTGTGATTCATTTAAGTTTACCAGAACAAATCAAACAAACAATCTGGTACACTAAAAACAGAATATATAATGATAAAAATACATTAAAATTTAAATTTAATTTACAGATATTAAAATGGAATGAGATTATGACGATTAATAAGAACGTAAATGAAAATTATAAAATGTTTCATGATACACTAACAAATATCTTGAATAAATGTATACCTTTAATTAAAATTAAATTAAAATCTGGGTATAAAAACACTGGCTCACTGTTGGTATAAAAATCTCTTGCAAAAATAAAAGGTTATTAAAAAACCTAGTCACAAAAACCAAGAACCCGATACTAACTAAATATTATAAAAATTATGATTTTTTTTTTAAAGGAAGCCTTGACAACAGCTAAAAGACGTCACTTCGCGGAAAAAATGCGTAATTCACTAAATAAAGTTAAAACAATGTGGTCCACTATTAACGAGAGAACTAACAAAAAAATTAAAAGTGCAAAATATAATATTATCCTACAAATAAATAATAAACAAACTACACAGCCAAAGGAGGTACACATCTTTAATGACTTTTTTGCCTCTATTGGGGAGAATAACTCAAACCGAACTGGCAGTAAACCGAAAGGAACCCGAGCGATATCTCCTACAGAGAACTCACTTTTTCTCAGTCCAGTCGACCCGTATGAGGTAAATAAATTAATAAAAAACTTAAAAAATAAAAATAGCCACGGAATAGATGAACTTCCACCTTCTTTAATAAGACAATGTGCAGACGAATTAACATTACCTTTTTACAACTTAATAAACCAATCTTTTGAAGAAGGCACGTTTCCCGACCTCCTAAAAAAAACCATAGTAAAGCCGATACATAAAAAAAGCACGAAAACTGATCCAAATAACTATCGCCCTATAGCTCTCTTGCCAGCAGCCTCAAAAATATTTGAAAAGGCTATGTGTAATCGTTTTTATGCTTTTTGTGAAAAATATAATATATTTAACGACAGTCATAATGGGTTCCGTAAAAATCGATCCACAATCTTGGCGGTTTATAAATTTATTCAGGAAGCGCTAAATATAATTGATAAAAAGAAGAGATGCATATTTCTTTTTATCAATTATATCGATATGATATGACCTCGATATGACCAAAGCTTATGATAAGGTACAATTTGATATATTATTAATCAAATTAAATAGTGTAAGAATCCGTGGTAAATGCCTGTAATGGTTTACATCATATTTAAAGGACAGGGAACAGCTTGTAGAAATAGAATTCTATAACCACAAGACAAATAAAATAGAATTAATCCGATCAGATTACAAGCTAATTAACGCCTCTATTCCACAGGGAAGTGTGTTGGGGTGTCTACTCTTCCTTATATATATAAACGATCTCCCAAAAAATATATATGAGCCATGTGTTTTGTTTGCAGACGACATATCAATACTCACTTCATGCGAAAATAACAATAACCTTAATGATAAATTAAATTCTATACTTAGTGCTACAACTGACTGGATGACCGAACACAATCTAGAAATTAATTTCAACAAAACAAACATCTCAAAACAAAAGTCTCCCCCCCGGGCTGGGTGTTATCTGCTACGCGGATGACACTTTAGTCACGGCCCGGGGGGCTAACTTCCAGGAGGCGGCGCGCCTGGCCGCCACGGGAGTTTCCCAGGTGGTCGGGCGCATTGAGGCGTTGGGATTACGGGTGGCCCTGGATAAGACGGAGGCCCTATTATTTCATGGGCCCCGTCGTGGTCCACCCGCCGGCGCCTCAATCGAGGTCGGCTCGGTCCTCGTACCGGTCCGGGCCCAGATGAGGTACCTGGGTCTGGTCCTAGACGGTAGGTGGCTCTTCGACGAGCACTTCCGACAGCTTAGTCCGAAGCTGGTGGACACTGCCTCCGCCCTAGGGCGACTTTTACCACCGCCAATTAGGGAACTAAAAACCATATTCACTTTTAAAATGCACCTCAAAAAATACATCCTCGAACAACAAAAACACCAGTAACAAAGGGGAATGCCCAAACAACTAAGGAAAATAGTATCGGTATAAATATTACTGTGACAAGATGAAAACTATTGTCTAAGATTCGTATGAGTATACCGTCACCTCCATCTGAACAACACTCGATGAAATGATGTTTTTTTTCAGGTTTTTTACACACGCGTTTTAAGTGACCTTGTAGACCGCACTTTTTACACTTATACCGCGCAAATCGACATGACGTCGCTTGATGACCTGTGAAGCCGCAAGCCGTACATCCGTTGTTAATGTGGCCACGTTCTGCGGTTGCTGACCGCGAAGCCACTGTCGAGTTTTGTCGCGGTTGTGGGTCAGGTCGGCTCCCATGTGTCCCTGGTGCTCCCGACGTGCTCATCTTCATGAGATGTAATGAAGCAGTCGTGGGTTCCACCTGGCGCTGTAACGTTTCCTTGGCTCCCATACGGGCGCAACGTACCCCTTCTGCAATTTGTATTGCCTTGTTTAAGGTGAGCTCCGATATGTCCTTCGTGAACAGTTTATCTTTTTCGGGCCCTGATTCCATTCCTAAAATAAAACGATTCCGTAATTGTTCATCCAGGTATGTAGCACCAAAACCACAGTACATTGCTAGACCACGAATGCGTGAAGCCCACTCCGCCAAGCTTTCACCGTCGTTTTGAGTAGCACTGTGGAACCGAAATCTTTCGGCAAATGTACATTTCTTCGCCGCAAGATGACCGTCTAATAGATTCACCACTTCTATGTAGCTTAAGGTACCGACTTCTCGCGGTAAAGCTAGATTTCGAATCAATCTATACGTAGATTCAACACAATTGCTGAGTAAAATAGCCCGACGTTTGCAACCGGCCTTATCTGTGTCCACTGTAATATCGTTTGCTAAGAACCACTGTTCGAGTTTTTCTTTATAGATACACCATTCTTGCACTTCGTGATTGAATGACGATAAGGTGCCCAACGTTATTTTCGCCATTTCCAATTTATCCTCGTCGCCACTGTTGTATATACAGTAATTGGGGGTAGCCAAATGACACAACCGGTATGTACAAGCTCGTATATAATCGTTGACTGACGCAGAAGTCTATCTCAATCAGTAGTGTAAACTATATATAAGTACCCTACATGGTTACTCACTAACAGTAGTTTAAGAAAAAATAAATAACATATGCGTAATTTGAAGGGTTTCAGAGAAATAGAGGGGGGATTTACATAGTCCCCCGTTGTAAGTTAAAATATAAAACTTATTATTTAGCATGCAATTAATAGGAAAATTAAGATCTAATTAGAATACAAAAGATGTGCACAATACAATTTAAATACTAAGTTACTAAAAGTAACAAGTATCTACTCCATTAGGAGTGAATTAAATACCTACCTAATATTTTGCTATGTTAACTGTAGAGAGGAAACCAACAGACAGACAGAACACAAAAAAAGAACAGACATGGCCGGCACGATCGGAGTGATACCACTGCCTCACAGAAAACTTGTGTTAAACAATTTTGCCGTTGCTCTTTACCAAGTGAGTGAGGTAGCCGGAGCCCAAACCCCCTGATCCTGTGTGGAAAGATCAAATATTCAAAGGGGCTGCCCTTTGAATAGTCGATGCCTCCCTACTATTCGATATTTTCATAGGTGTATTCTTCAAAAATATCATCTAAGAATGGTGCTGGTGCGCAATATCATTATGCCGCCCCCAGGTCAAATACCAGGTAACAGTCATCACATGGGCACAACAGCCCACTGTGCGTCTGCCCACAAAACAGCTACAACAGTAGCCAGAGATAGCTCTTAGTGTATTTACAGTGTCCTCATTTCTATTTATCAGCAGGTAAGTATAATATGAGCAACTGCTTAAGTCTCGATTTCATTTTTCCACGAATTACATAATTGTTTACACCCAGAACAAGAGGTATGTCATCTTCTATGGCATTATTTATTTGCACAGTATATGTGCCATTTTGTCGGACGTGTTCAACGTAATATGACCGTGCCTGCTTGAGTTGGTAGGAACCTAGAGCTAATTTTTTTAAATCATCAATTGTTAGCTTTGGAAATCCACTCAAGTGAGGATGGTTACCATCTATATTCAAAAATCCTGTGCGTCTCTTACTTAAGTGGCCAGCTTCGACTACATCAGCTAAATGATTAGGAACATTTAGTCTGTGCTGGGCTAATCGCAAATATTCTCTGTACACAGGTTTTGTCCTTAAGGTCAGTGCGAAACTTGTTAACAAGAGCACAACCTATTCTGAAATCCTCCATAAGATGTGAGGAATATAAATTCGATAGTGACTTAAGACTTCTTCTTTCAATGGTCTAGGTATTAACAAACGTTCCATATTGCCACAGTTAGAAAAAACACAATGCCTTGTTGAAACGGCTACACATTTATAGGTCTGTGATATTATTATTGGCCCTTGTTGCCTTCTTTGAGGCTGGTATACGTTGTGCTGAGGTAATGGTGGTGGATTAGGAATATGTACAGCATGTAATATTAAAAAATTAAAAAAAAATATTTTATTGGGTGTGGGTCTGTGTTTTAAACAAACAAGCTAACTGGTGGCACCACAAATACTAACAAACTAACAACTCGGGCGCCAGATACCACCTTAAAAGAACACAGAACCAACCACAAACACAATAAATGCCTCGGACAACTCGGTCAGCGCTAGACCTTTAATCTAGGACGGGGGGCAGCTAATAAATACAAAGATGTTAAGTTCTAGTGGCAGTTTATTATCCCGTAGTGTCTGTAGAGTACATGGTATCTTAAGACTCTAATTACAATAGGTAACTCTTATACTCAAATTAGTACTGTCGTTAATGCAATCTGTTTCAAATAAATGAATAAACCAAACTAAAATTAAATATGTTTTAAGAGTCACATAAAGACTCAATAAGAAATGAATCTAAGGGTAGTTGTAGCATCGTCCTACTCCCTTAATAAAAATAACACCCCTTGGGGGCCTGCAGTAACCGATGCCACGACGCCAAACAAATTAATAAAAACACATACCAAATGACCTTGGCTCAGTCCGAATGAAATGAAGGCAAACCAAATCTAATACATCTCACTCCGGTCCCAGTGGTGGAAGAGGCGGGGTAGCATTCCAAGGCTCCTGATAATGGATTGCAGCTAAACAGCTTTTTCTACCATTATAGGTGCTCCGCAGCAAACTAAATCCTTGGGTCAGGCCGGCAGAGAGGCAAAATCCAAATGTCACGCAATGACATTCCAATCCGATAAGAAAATAATGTATAATTTGAACTAGAACTAGATATAAACTAGAAATTTAGATATAAACTAAAAATTTAGATTTAAACTAAAAAAAAAAATTAGATATAAACTAAAGACCCTGATTCATCTGCAACAAATGAGAATTATAGGTTACTTGCCTATCTCAAAAGATGAATCCTAAATCTGGCAAGATACAATAGTTTACTCACCAGGGTCCCAAAATGTTTCAAAAACTAAGCAGCGGCATTATAAATAATCCCTGTAACCAAACAAACAAAGATTTAGAACAACTAATCTCGACAAGCCAAGTATGAAGCACGTGGCTTAACAAGACTTACCTTTTAATGAAAATAACAATTCGATCAATATAATTTGAGTCTTTAACGAGATTGGCGAAACAATAAAATATGAAATATGCCCTCGTTACAACAAAAAGACTACATTTTAAAAATCTAAACCTTCTTCGACCCAGACAAAACCAATGTCACGCCATAAATGCCTTTTAACTATGACGCGTCCAAATGTTGCCAGAACAAGAAAAACTAAATCGATAAATTACCATAGACGAACAGCACCGACTATTATTCTCGTCCACCTCATCGACAATCGGCACTCGCTGAAACGTCATAAAATTCAACTAACAACTAAAAACACGTCGATGATTCAATATACTGTAATGGTGCGAATTGCACCGTTACAAGCATTATCTTCCTCATCAGGCACAGGTACATCATTATTATGTACAGGTACTTCCACATCAGGTAGAACAACTTCCATAGTAAGTACAGGTCCATCGGCATTTGGTGCAAGAAATTCAGCACTGGGTACAGATACTTGAGAGTTCTCAGCTACAGGCTCATCTTCAGCATGCATTATATGATTAGCATCATGTTGCAATTGCCGTTGTATGGTTCTTTTCGCTGCCATCCAACATGCTCTGCATACTCTGTCCAAAGACCGCATCTTGACAAGAAAGATTAATAGTTAGAGATGGTTTTAAGTTACAGTTATGATTATTCTCCTATGAGATATATAATAAAAATTGAACATCTGTTATTGAGTAACTTAATTTTAATTCATTTGAAACAAAATGATATACATTAAGTCTTGATTCTACAATTAAATCAAAGACTATAATGTATTTTATTGCAGAGGGTAGGTTTCCTTATGCTTACAAGAGGTATTTCATGAACAACAGATGGGATGCAAACAAAACTAGTGTTATCGAGTAACACTTCCGGCCTCACATAATACGTAAGCCATTATTTACTAACTAGTTCAGGTACATCCTAATGATTAGGCAATATATAGAACTTATTGTTTTATAATATAATTAGTAATTTTGTAATCAAGTAAATAGTTGATTCATTTATACTTATAATATTTTATTGGCGCCTTCCGCTTGACAGCTTCCGGCGCAATAAACCTTTAATGTTATTTATGTTATATAATTTAATATTATTAAATAATAATTGTACGTAAATAATCAACAGGATAATTAAGATAAACAATGTTACCTATTAAGTTTGTATTAAAATAGGTCAAGATGATTGTATAAATACCAACGGTTAACATATTTCGGGTCATTCGTATTCTACCCGTCCTAACGTGTATTAAAGAGAATATATTATTTCGTGTGGATTTAAAGTGTCTTAATTGTCGCCGCCACCCTGATAATCATTTTACACTTCAGAAGTGGGATAATGTCAGGCCCATACATTGACGGACTTGGTACAAAGAAAGGGAGACGCTGCGAGAATGCTGCACCCGACAGCGACGAATCATCTAGTTTTTTTTCTTCATCCGATCACGAAGAGACCGTTGAGAAACACAGGCGATACAAAAAGCGACGTGTCACCCAAACCGATGCGGAGGTTATTCCAACGTTCTGGCCGGATGAAAAATCTAGCAACGTCAAAGGATGGCTGCACAAGATTGACCAGTTGAGTGACGTATATGGATGGGACCACAAAGACCGCCAGTTCATCATGCAGATACGTCTTCGTGGGACGGCTAGAGACTGGTATGACGATCTGGACGACTACAATTTCACGTGGGAGGGGTGGAAGGACGCTCTAGAGACCGCGTTCCCACGTTCTACTGACTTTATAGATCTACTTGAATCTATGCTCGCTAGAAAGAAAACGAAATCGGAAAGTATGACAAAATATTTCCACGACAAGGTTTCCTTATTAAAAAAATGCAATATCGTTGGCGAGCCTGCAATTTCGTGCATAATTCGCGGTCTACCCGTGGAAATAAGAGCTAACGCAAAGGCTTTCCAGTGCGATACACCACAGCAACTATACTACGGATATTTGTCGTCACTGGAAAACTACAAACAAGTTGAAGCTAGCCATCCGCGACTGGTTACCACGTGGAGAAGAGGGGGCGCCGTTACTCCAATTGCAAGAGGAACAGACTTTCAACCGAAGAAATGTTACGCTTGCCGAAGAGAAGGTCATGAAGCAAAGGACTGCAAAGTGCCGCGCTGTGAGGTGTGCCATCGCCCGGGCCACACGTCGGCCAGCTGCTGGTATGCGGCCAGCTCTTCACACCCAAAAGTGAGTAATGTCTTATTTACAACATACAACATATACGTAGACTTGTACAAAAAGGTAGTGGTAATTAATGGTTGTAGTCTCATTGCATACATAGACACGGGCAGCAAATTAAATATTCTCACTGTGGCATATGCCGATAAGTTAAAATTAAAGATTAAGCCTTCCATGGTTACAATGCGAGGTTTTGGAGGCGCATACTCGACCTCTTTAGGAACGTCCCACGTAAATGTTCACATAGACAATATTATTTTAAGTGGATTTGTAGAAATAACGAATTACGACATGGCCGATATAGATTTAATAATCGGACAATCAATGATAAGTCAAAATAATATCAGTTTAATTGTATCACAAAATTCTGTTAAATTCGTGGGTAGTAGTGATACTTTTAATAGTACTCTTAGTGATATAAAATTACGTGACACAGACTTAATAACCAAATTTCCAGTGTATTTAAGACACAGCTGTATAATACCACACCAAAGTACTGCTTTGGTACAAGTTTATCTCGACATTAACACTAATGAAACATTTCTCGTGAATTCTGTATATTTTGAGTTGGGCTATATGTCTTATGTAATTTTGGGTGGGCTTGTAAGGTCGAAAGATTGCTTTCTAAAAATAATTAATATCGGAGACAAAATTATTGAATGGAAACAGAATAGATTAATAGCACGCGCGGAAATTGTTACTAATAAAAAGAAGAGTCTGCAAAGTAGTACGAATGTTATGATACTTGACCAATCTACTGACGAGGAATTACAATTATCTGATATAGAGACGAGGAATTACAATTATCTGATATAGATATAGGAGATTTAGAAAGGAATGATAGCAGTCGACTATTACGGTTACTGAATAAATACAGACATTTGTTTGCGAAAAATACAAAAGATTTGGGATGTACAGACATACTGGAGATGCATATTCAGACCAAAACTGAGCAGCCTGTCTTTTGCAAGCCTTATCGACTCTCTCACAAGGAAAATGAAATTGTAAATGAAAAGGTTCAAGATCTTATTGATGCAGGTGTAATACGTCTGATTATGTCTGATTATGTCTGATTATGCAAGTCCAGTGGTCCTTGTGAAGAAAAAAGGTGGTGATTATAGGTTATGTATAGACTACAGAAACCTCAATGCACGCACTATTAAAGATCGATATCCTCTGCCTCATATAGACGATCAGGTATCCCGCCTCTCTGGTAAATCTTTCTTTACAACTTTAGATCTAGCACAAGGCTACTATCAAATTAGCTTCTCTAAAGACTCTATTCATAAAACTGCATTTGTTACGCCTTCTGGGCAATATGAATTTTTAAAAATGCCATTTGGTTTAGCAAATGCACCAGCTGTATTTTCAAGTCTTATAAAAATCGTTCTAGGTAGTTTAGGTAATGACGTAGCTACGTATCTCGATGACGTCATGCTACCAACAACTTCTGTTGATGACGGTCTTAAGTTACTAGATACTGTATTAAAGCTCTTATCGGAAGCAAATTTGAAATTAAACCTTAGCAAATGTTCGTTTCTTAAGAGAACTGTTAATTACTTAGGTCATGAGATAACTGCAGGCACAGTGCGACCAGGACAGGCTAAGATTAGTTGCGTAGCTGAATATAGAAGACCTCGAAACGTGCACGAAATAAGACAGTTTATTGGTCTATCATCTTATTTTAGGAAATTTATTCGCGGGTTTGCTGAAATAGCTAGACCTCTCACGCAGTTGACAAAAAAGGATGTGGGGCTCTGCCCAAGAAACTGCATTTCAAACGTTAAAAGAGCGTCTTGTCGAGAGACCAGTATTAGGTATATACGATAGGAATGCTTGCACGGAGCTACCGATACTAGTAAGCTAGGGCTGGGAGGTATCCTTTTGCAATACCAAAGCGATGGTGTATTAAAACCAATTGCATATTTCAGTAGGGTTACAAGTAAGGAAGAACAGTTCTATCATAGTTATGAGCTGGAGACATTGGCAGTTGTAGATTCCTTGAAGCGCTTTAGAGTATATCTCGTAGGTATTCCGGTAACTGTAGTAACATGTAGCGCCGCATTACGGACAACTCTAGTAAAAAAAGACCTTATTCCCCGTATAGCCCGCTGGTGGCTTTCAATTCAAGATTATGATCTGCATATTGAGTATCGATCTGGCAATCGAATGAGACACGTAGATGCTCTGAGTAGAAATCCAGTACCAAACTCTGTCCTATTCATTGATAACTCTGACTGGCTAGTGACATTACAATTACAAGACGAAAGTATTCAGTCTCTTTTAACTCAGCTACGGAATGGTACAGACAATCAAAACATTATTGCTAACTATGCTATAAAGGATAACATTCTCTATAGAAAAATAATTAACGGGGACCGTTTTGTTATACCTAAATTGGCAAAATGGGGATTATTACAAAAATTTCATGACCAAATAGGACATGTTGGTTTTGATAAGTGCGAAAAAACTATTAAGGCACAGTTTTGGTTCGAGGGCATGACTAGATTTATTCGAAAATATGTTAAGTTATGTCTTCAATGTGCTTACGGCAAGGGAGAGCACGGTAAATTATAGGGAGAACTCCATCCAATCGAAAAGGTGGCTATCCCGATGCATACGCTACACGTTGACCATTTAGGCCCATTTGTAAAAACACGTAAAGGAAACGCGTATATACTAGTTGTCATAGATTCGTTCACAAAGTTCGTATTTGCAAAACCTGTCAAAAGTTGTAGTTCCATGGAAACTATAAAACAATTGAAAGATATCATTTCGCAGTTTGGAAATCCTCACAGAATCATTACGGATAGAGGCAAAGCGTTTACTAGCCAGTATTTCAAACAGTTTTCAGAAGAAATGCAATTTAAACATATTTTGAATGCCATTGCTAGTCCTAGGTCGAATGGACAAGTAGAACGGGTAAATCGAACTTTGATTAACGGATTGAACACTATGTCTGATAGCGAATGCACCTGGGATGATCACCTAATTGATATAGTTTGGGGCATTAATAACACTCCCCAAGCAATTACTGGTTTTGCTCCTTTTAAGTTGTTATTTGGGCATCCCAATTCGCGCTTACCGGCATACCCTACTGGAGAACCCAGTGACTTCGAAAGTCAAGCGAAAGTATTAGAGGAAAGGCGAAACGCGGCTAAATTGCGTATTGACAAACATATGACACTTATGAAGGATAGGTTTGATCGATCTCATAAAAAATGCATTAAGTGCTCGGTGGGACAACTGGTACTTTGGAAAGGGGGAATAACCAGAGTAAACGCTAATATAACTAGGAAACTTAACGGGTTGTATACAGGACCATATAGAGTATGCAAAGCAGAAGAGTCGTTGGATCGCTACACTATATGTAGTATTAAAGGCATGAAAGGTTATCGAAAATTTACTGCTGTTGTTCGCGGTGAAGTCCTCCGACCTTACAAATCTTCCATTCCCGATGATAGCAGTGGCAGTGACCATGAGGTTGATAGAGATGATTTGATAGACTTATTAGGGAGTTAACAGTTAAATAATAAATAATTTTAATTAATAAGGATGATAAGTATTAATTAATACAAATTTATGAACGTATTGTAATAGATCAAAAATTAAGTACGGAACAAATACTGTATTCAGAAATAAACTGTTGAACAAAATATGTATTCGTTTGTTCTATTTAGTATCTGATAAAACAAAATCAAACTACTTCAGGATAGAGGCTGCACAAGTTACAATAAAAGCTGTGTGATGTGTAACAAATAAAAGCTGTGTGATGTGTAACAAATAAAAGCTGTGTGATGTAGAAAAAATAAAAGCTGTGTGATAAAGAATAAATAAAAGCTGTGTGATAAAGAACAGATAAAAGCTGTGTGATATATATAACAAATAAAAGCTGTGTGATAAAGAACAGGGAAAAACTGTGTGAGCCAACCAAAACAAAAAAAAAAAAAATAGATTATACAAGATTTAATTACTGCTTAAACTTGTCAATTTCAGCTGCCATACACCAGCGACAAACCAGGCGCCAATAGCAGCGCTGATCGCCGTGGGACACGGCATACACAGGATGGCCGAATGTTATCGAGTAACACTTCCGGCCTCACATAATACGTGAGCCATTATTTACTAACTAGTTCAGGTACATCCTAATGATTAGGCAATATATGGAACTTATTGTTTTATAATATAATTAGTAATTTTGTAATCAAGTAAATAGTTGATTCATTTATACTTATAATATTTTATTGGCGCCTTCCGCTTGACAGCTTCCGGCGCAATAAACCTTTAATGTTATTTATGTTATATAATTTAATATTATTAAATAATAATTGTACGTAAATAATCAACAGGATAATTAAGATAAACAATGTTACCTATTAAGTTTGTATTAAAATAGGTCAAGATGATTGTATAAATACCAACGGTTAACATATTTCGGGTCATTCGTATTCTACCCGTCCTAACGTGTATTAAAGAGAATATATTATTTCGTGTGGATTTAAAGTGTCTTAATTGTCGCCGCCACCCTGATAATCATTTTACACTAGTTACATAAACTGTTAATCATTTGATTTATTTACATACCAGGTGTGGAGATATCTGATTAAGAATAATATTCCTTTCTTCACTATTGGGAGGTACTCTCATTGATCGTACACGAAGTATTGATATTCCACATGCAAAACATACACCTCTATGGCCCAACATAGGATCTTGGCCTGACCTAGCTGTAACAGCAGCTTGTAGAGCAGCAAAGCACTCAATACAAATGATCCCATCACGTGAAATCTAAAAAGAAATTGTAATATACAATATTTATTAATACTAATATTTCTTTGGTACTCACCAAACACAAATTACAAATGGCTCTAACATTATTTTTCTAAATGATGGCCGTTAACCCTCAAAATGACATACCAGAGTGAGTGAAATCCAAGCAGATAAAATAGTGTAGATATTTTCATTCACTTCTCTCAATGATTGCCAACGTTCATGCTGCAGTCGGAGGGAATAGTTAATGCACCGACGAACGGAACTCGAACTTCCCATTATGGTTATAATGGAGTCTCTATCTCACTTTCACAATCAGTTTTTACAAAGAGCTTCTGCCTTACAGTTAGTACAAAAAATATAGTCTTTTTCTCAAAATACGTGTAGTTACTACAATGAATCACAATAACACACACGGAAAAATTACAAATTCAAACAACGCTGAACTGTTTGACAACAAACAATAATCATACAGCTACAGTGTTGCCATAATTATAAAAACTATATTGATTGAAATTAAAAATCGAAATCGACCACATACGAGACATTTCTTTTGATTTTTAAATCTGAAAAATAAAGACAAGTATCCATTCCCAATAAACATAATGCCAATTGCTTCCTCAGTTTATGATATTACGGTTTCATACACCTAGTTTAAAAGCTAATATTTAATTTGTAGTTTCGAGTCAATGACAAAAAAGTTTTTATTCAGAAATTATATTTTTTTAATTAACATTAAAGTATTATCATGCTTTTATTGAATAATTACGATTGATTCATTTTTAAACAACTGGTTATTTTATAAAAAGAAAACGATTTAATGTAATTATTTGTGAAATGATGTTACCACTACAAAAAATCCCTAACGGAAAATTTAACAACTGATAAATAATAATGAATACATAAATAAAACAACTAATATTTCATATTAATTTATCCGGCATATGTGAGACGCCACATTAGGTTATAAAATCATCATAAATATAAACAAAAATTATCACTGTCACGAACTTGTGTCACAGTTTAAATAATAATCATCAAGCGATACCACATATGGGCATTCCCCTTTACATACCTCTGAGGTTATGTTCCATCAGCAGGTGATTCCAGCACTGTGTAGCAAGTCATGGGTCACCTACACCTGCTCATTCCTAGCCTGGTTGTGCTCCTGACGGAGGGTTGATTAAGATGGATCAGCAAACTATGCGGTGTCTTTCTCTTTGCTCTTTGCATACTTTCACAATTTTTGAAAACCTAAAATAGATAATAGTTAGTAAGTAAATAGGTATAATAATAATAACCATACAGTAAGCAATAAGTCTTAGTTGTAGTTAACACGTGATAATCAATTGTAGTTTTATAAGTTTGGTTGTTTGTTTTTTGTTGTGCTAGCGTTAAGTTGTTTTAACAATATAGCCTACTTACCAAATACAGTCCTTGTGTCATACATGACATGACAAGCAGCACATAAGAGATTTCCAGTGGTAATTGCGGCTGTCGGCGTCAAATCAATAACTCTGGTGGGCACGGAAAATCAGTATTGGGACGGACCATGTCCATCACAGTAAATGCTGAGGGTCCACCTATTCTGTGGGACACAGCGTACAACTCTCATCCACACAAGCTATCTATCTATGTGGTTAAGATTGAGAGGCCTGCTTGGTTACATGCAAAACATAGTAACCTAAAATAATAGTGATCACCACGTCAGCGCCACGTCAAATATGATCACAGTCTCACAGACAACTCATGACCACAGATAGCGTAGTATAGTGTTGCACGTAAAAAAAACTTTTTAAAAAGGTAATATTATTGTAAGTTGTATTAAGTTACTAATTTATATTAAGTTGTATGCTGTGTTTTCTCACAGAATAAAGTTTATTTTATTTTTATTTTTTTATGCTGGTGCAGACCTTAATTTTCCTAATCATCGACTATGGTGATGTGTGTTACCTCGACCTGAATGCAGATCTGCTCAATAAATTAGACCGACTTCTCAACAACTGCATAACATGTCAAAAACTTGCATGCAGGCCAAAAACTTGTTCTGTCTTCACTTAATCCAGAAATTTTGGTTAATAAATGGTATCAAAGAAATTAAAAGAATATTACATTCTTGTACAATTTGTTTTCGCTTAAAAGCACAAGTGGCTAAACAGTTAATGGGCACACTTCCTCACGACAGAGTAAATGTAAGTAGACCTTTTCAAAAAATAGGAATTGACTTTGCCGGACCGATTTCAATAAAACAATCGCGTATCAGGCGTCCGTTGGTCACAAAAGGTTACATATGTATATATGTCTGTTTCGTGACTAAAGCTGTTCATTTAGAATTAGTTTCAAGTCTCACTACGGCGGCCTTCTTGGCGTCATTGAAACGTTTCCTATCGCGGCGAGGACTTCCCTCAGATATTTATTGTGATAATGCCGCCACATTTAAAGGTGCAAAAAACCAACTTTTAGAACTTTATAACCTGCAGAATTCCGCAGATAACCAAAAGCAGGTGCAGTCATTTGCAGCGGAAAAAGGAATAAATTTTCATTACATACCGAGCTACTCACCGGTTTTTGGGGCTCTGTGGGAGGCTGCAGTGAAAAGTACGAAATATCACCTGAAAAGGGCAGTTCAAAGGGCATTGCTTACATATGAAGAAATGAGCATAGTTTTGTTTCAAATTGAGTCTATTTTAAATAGTAGGCCATTGACTCCCATGTCTAGTGATATTAATGATTATACTTATTTGATCCCTGGTCATTTTCTTATTGGTTCTGCATTGAATAGTTTGCCTGAAAGAGATTTAACAAATGTACCTTTAAATAGATTAAACTTTTGGAATATTTGTTGCAATATGTACCAACAGTTCTGGAAGGTATGGAGAAAGCAATATCTTAACACTTTACAGTGCAGACCCAAGTGGAGAGACAGTTTTCCTGATGTTAAAGTAGGCTCATTAGTTATTTTAAAAGATGATAATGTTCAACCCCTATATTGGCCCATGGCCAGGGTAGTAAATGTTTTCCCAGGGCCTGATAACAGGGTTAGAACTGTAGAAGTAAAAACCCAAAATGGAAATACTCATAAACGCTCCATTACTAAAATATGTTTATTACGAATTGAATGCTCAGATTAAGTGTATTCACTTACCTAAATAATAATTCATACTTCTCTAGTAATTTACTAGTCTAGATAATAAAGAAGTATTACTTATTCCTTATATTCAATATTGTAACTTGTTTATAAGCAGGTAGCTTTGCATTTATGTAAAATTGCTATCTTAGGCAGTTATTTACTGTAAGATACGCCATTTATATATAAAGTTTTTTCTACTTTTAAAAACAACATGTTAGTTTTGTTTTTTTGTATAAGAAGTTATTGTTTTATTTTAGAGGACTTTTATAAAAAACACTGTTTGGCATATATACTAATAGTCATTTTAATAGGTGTTGCCTTAGTATCTTAACTACATAGATTAAAATATTTTGATCAAGTTTATAAATAAACAGTTTGCTTTATACATTATTTATAGCTAGCAATGTTCATGATTCTGATCTTTGTCCATGTAGTACATAAAGTAAATACCTAGTATATAAGTATCCTTTCCCGCTGGGACCATGTAGCAATCTGTGGCTACACAAAAGTAAATTATTAGTCTGGCAATAATTTCACAGTCAGTCAGTCTTGTCCAATTCCGCTGTAATGTAGCACCTTGTATGCGTTGTAATAATTATACCAATAAAAGTGCATCCGCAAA